GTGGGTCTTGATAATGCTCCAGGTCATTACACAAATTTCTTGGACTGGATGGGACGCCTCACAGAAACACGGGGATTCAAGACGGAGCACGCGCTCTTCCAGTTCAGCCGACGGAAGTTTAACAGGGACGACGTTCGTGTTATGTTTGAGAATTACAAACTTATGAGCCGAGCGACCCTTCTTGCGGACAGTGCTGACAGCTATAGTCACTTTTACACGGTGCTGAAAGATTTTGCACGAAAGGTGGCCGGTGAGGACTCACGCCACCAGATTGGTGTACGCATTGACGAGCCGGAGGTGGATGCGGAGACCGGCATTGCCGTCGGCCGTGGTTGCGCGGATGGGGAAAAGTATCAATTTACTGCCCTCTTGCGTGAGAACCGAGATCACAACGGCGCCATTACCATCATGGGCAAGCCAATGGCCCTCGTGCTGGATAACAAGGCATGGCTGATGGAGATGCTGCTTATGCCTTTTGATGAGGCGAATTTGGATTATAGGGACTTTGACGTGCACATTGTGTTGGAGGGGCATGCTATGCCTTCCATCGCCAACGAAATTGCTGCTTTTGCCCTGCGCATGTCGATTGCCAACGCCCTTGTGAAGCTCTTGCCTCTCACACGCATTCCGCTGAAGAAGTCCGGCCTGCTCTCCGTGGATCGTCGTCGCGAGAGGGGGCAGTTCCCCGGATATTTGGACGGAAAGAAGGTCAAGCGAAAGTTTGCCAAGCGTTAGTGAAGGTGCCTCTATGCATGATGCGGCGAGAGGTGGAGAGCGACAATGGATCAAGGGAAGAGGAAGAGGAGAAGAAAGAGGAGGATTGTGTGAGACACAGGGAGAGAGAGAGAGAGAGAAAAAAAAAATCAAGGTGCCTGGCCGGCCAAAGGTGTGTCTGTATTTTTGTGTTATTATTATTATTATTATTTCCCCCCTTTAGCGCTTATGACACCATTGCCATTGTTGGTTGTCCTTCTCTCTTTTTTTTTTTTTTTTTTGCACTGGCTTCTTGGCGGACAGGGGATTAGGAGGGGAATGCTGCTCCTTCTTCTTGCGGCGATTATTTGGGGCATAACCAACCCGTTGCTGAAGCGCTACAGCAGCGGCATGGCTGTGAGTTCTTCTTCTTTTCTGGAGGATCTGCGCTTTCTGGTGTCGCGTCCCAAGTACATGGCGACACAACTTCTCAACTTGAGTGGGTCTGTTTTGTTTTTCCTCGGGCTGCGTCATGTCGATGTGGCGGTGGGTAGCATGGTCGCCAACGCCTTGGCGTTTGTTATCACCGTGCTGGTGAGCGCCCTTGTGCTGCGTGAAGGCGTCTTGCGACCAGCAACTCTGCTTGGATGTGGTTTAGTGGTGGCAGGGACGACGTTGTGTGGAATTGCCTCATCGTCACGCGATTGATGGAACCGATAAATAAATAAATAAATAAATCAAGGGGACACAGCAAAACCTACACGGAGATGAAAATGAGAGGAGAAAGAATGGATGATTTTGCCGTTTCTTTTTCTCTCTCTCTCTCTCTTTTTTTTTTTTCTTTTTGTTTGCTCGCGGCTTCCACGATGGATTTGAGCGGCAACGCGCCCACGCACACAACAACAATAAAAAAGGATGAAGTCATGAAACGCATCGTTGCACCGAGGCGTTGGTCTCAACTAAACCGGGTGGAGCACCCGCCGCTAATGATGAAGCAGCTCTTTCAGGGCGTGTGCGGAGGACTGCGGTGGCTGGAGCTGAAGGAGCTCGCCGAACATCTGGCGACGCGGGCGATTGAGGACGGCTACCCAAGCACCAGCAGCGTGCGTCAGGCTCTGCAGGCGAAGAGGGCCCCACGGAGTAGGCGTCGGCAGGTGCGGGAGGAGATGAGACGCAACGTGGCGGCATCACTCCCGCTGACGTCATCGCAGAATGCGCTGACAGTGACGGGGGGGCTTTCGACATGTTTGGCCAAACCGAAGCGGCTTGTGCTGTATGACGTGTTGGACTGCACCCTCGGCGGCGGCTATCACGCAGGGGCTGTGCTTGAGAATGGAGGGCCGTACACACGCGTCGTCGCGTTGGACTGTGACCACGACGTCATGCAGACCGCAATGGAGCTGGTGGACGAGTTTGGCGCTGACCGTTTTAAATTTTTTTGCCGTCAAATGTCAGAAGCGAAGTCTTTGTTTGGTGAAAGGTCCTTTGATGCTGTAATGATTGACCCTGGCCCCTCCGAGACGCAATTGGAGAATCCGGAGCGCGGGTTTCTTCTTGATGACGAAAACAGTCACCATCTTGACATGCGTTACGGGCCACAGCTTGGAATTGGCGCTCTTGCGTACCTCAACACAGTACCGCAGCACGCTTTATCAGGTGCGTTGAGTGCCTATGGTCTGCTTACACCTGAGCAGTCAATGAAAATGGCACGTGAGGTGCGGTGTCGTCGACCTTTCACGTCTTCACGGGACGTCATTGGCTGCGTTGAGGCCGCCGGTGACATGTTGCCTGAGGAGGTGTGGAGTACGCAGAGCAGTCGACGCAAAACGCCCATGTCATGGAAGTTTTTCACGTCGTTACGCTGTATTTTGAACAATGAGATGTACGAGCTGCGAGAGGCTCTTGAGAATGCGCTGCTACTGCTGCGCGACGACGGCCGTCTCGTCGTTTTTTCCCGCCTCATGTGGGAGGAGAGGCTCATTCAGAGTACCGTTGAGAGCCATCCCCATGCGCTCTTGTGCTACACGGAGGATGTGCCTATGGAGGAGGTGTGCGAGCACGGTTTTACACGGCACACAAAGATGTGGGTTGCGTCACGCGTTGCCAAGTCATCCTATGCACTGAAAAACACCGTTTCTCTCACCGAGGAGAAGGTGAGGGAGAGTTCACTGCGTTGGCTAAGCGGCATGTACGCTGGTCAGACGTATGGTTTCCCTGCGAACAACTTCACCTTTGAAAACCTGGAGCCGAAGGAGCGACGCACACGGAGGCGGAATGGCAAGCCACCACCGCCGGACTACGGGCTGGACGACAGGTAGCCAACATCCTCCAGTCGCTGGTATTCTGGATACCACAAGAACACACGGGGATGGCGGTATTTCGTGCGCAGCGCATAAGCGGGGGCTGCTGATGTGCGAAGCGACAAGGCACCGAAGTGTCCCTCAGTGAAATATAAATACTGCCTGGGCGTGAGGAAATACGGTGGGAACGAAACAATTTTATTTTATTTTTTATTATTGATATTTTGCATGCGTCTGTGTGTGTGTCTTTGTTTCCGTTGAATGTTTGCAAACGGATACATGTGTACTTGTTGGCCGTTCTTCACGTGTCGTGTCTGTGTTTTTGTTGATTTCCCCTTGCATGGAGAAGAGGAGAGCGAAACAAAAGAGAATCACAATAATACAACAACAAACAAACAAACAAACAAACGATCATAGGGATTTAAGAAGGGAAGATCAATAAATTTAAAGGAAAAAAAAGGGGGGAAAAAAAGAAAGAACAACACGACGAAAGCGACAATGTACTCACAAAAGCAGCCGGTGCTTGTTTTGAACCAAAAGACAGAGCGGCAGACCGGACGCAAGGCGCAGATGAACAACATTGAGGTGGCTAAGACTGTGGCCAGTCTTATCAGCAGCACACTTGGACCGTGTGCAATGCTCAAGATGATTCTTGATCCAATGGGCGGCACGGTGCTGACGAATGACGGCAACTGCATCCTTCGCGAGATTGACGTGGTGCATCCCGCCGCAAAGCACATGTTGGAGCTCGCGCGTGCTCAGGACGAGGAGGTTGGCGACGGCACCACTTCTGTCATTGTGCTCACGGGGGAGATATTAAGCCTGGCGCAACCCCTCCTGGAGCGTAACATTCACCCGCTGAAGATAGTGAAGGGCTTCTCCCTTGCACTGACGGACGCCTTGGCGGCAATCGAGATGATTGGGACTACCATTGACCCGAATGACACGCGGCAGTTGGAGTCTGTTGTGCGGGCATGTCTTGGCACGAAGTTTAATTCACGTGAGGATGATATTATGTGCAAAATGGCGGTGGCCGCGACACAGCGGGTTGTCGTAGAGAACAAGACAACGGGCCAAAAGGAGGTGGACATCAAGCGATACGCCAAGATAGAAAAGATCCCTGGCGGGTCCGTCACCGATAGCGTCGTGCTGGACGGTGTGATGTTTAACAAGGATCACATCCACGCCAAGATGCGTCGCTACATTGAGAACCCTCGCATTATTCTTTTGGATTGCCCCTTGGAGTACAAGAAGCCAGAGACGACCATCAACGTTGAGGTTGGGCAGGCGACAGATTGGGAGTCGTTGCTGAAGCAGGAGGAGGATTACGTGCGGTCTCTCTGCAATGTCATCATCTCCTTCAAGCCAGATGTTGTCATCACAGAGAAGGGGGCATCCGACCTTGCGGCACACTTCTTGTACAAGGCCAATATTACATGCATTCGACGCCTTCGCAAGACGGACAATAACCGTATTGCCCGCGCAACCGGGGCAAAAGTTGTTAGTCGTATTGAAGAGCTCACGAAGGATCACATTGGACAGGCAGGATTAATGGAGATTAAAAAGATAGGAGATGAGTATTTTACCTTTATCACTGGCTGCAGCTCCGGCAAGGCGTGTAGCGTGGTTTTGCGTGGTGCCAGTAAAGATACCCTTAATGAGATGGAACGCAACCTTCATGATGCCATGTGCGTGGCCCGTAATATCATCCTTGATCCGCGTGTAGTGTATGGTGCTGCCGCCGTGGAAATGTACGTCTCATCCTATCTTATGAATCGTTCGAAGAGCATCACAGGTGTCCAGCAGGCGGCCTACCAGGCCGTGGCGATGGCCCTTGAGGTGGTCCCACGCATATTGACAAGCAACTGCGGCGCAAACGTCATTCGCACTGTTACGGAATTACGGGCGCGTCACTCTATGCCAGACGGTAACTTCTGGGGCGTCGATGGCACCACCGGCGAGATTGTTGACGTCCGGGTGCTGCAGGTGATGGAGCCTGCCGCCGTGAAGGTGCAGGCGCTCAAGACAGCCGTTGAGGCTGCGTCGATGATTCTGCGCGTGGATGATGTGGTGTCTGGCACCAAGTTGCGTCACGGCAATGAGAAGCCTGCACCCGCTGCGGCGAAAGACGATGATGATCATGGCGATGCCGCGGCTGCGGAGTGACGCAGAAGGGGGTGCGATGATTGATTGTCAATATTTTACGTACGTCGCCGTGATCACCGTTTTCCCTCGTTATTTTATTTTATTTATTTATTTATTTATTTGTTGTTGTTGTTGTTTTTTTCTTAAAAAAAATTTTTTTTACACATTCCGTCCGTGCGGAGAGACGACGAAGAAAACTTTTATTTTATTTTACTTGTTTCTTCGTTTCCTTTTGGTGGGTGGGTCGTTAAGGCGTGTGATCACGGGGGGAGGGAAGAAAGAAGGAACCTCCTCTTCCTTCTTCTCGTTTCTTTTTTTCCTCCTTTTTTAAAAAAATGAAAAAAAAAAAAAAGCCCCCATCCCACACAAAAACAACAACAACAACACTTCCGAAAGAAGGAAGTAAACAAAACGCGATTAGAAGAAATATATAAAAAAGAAAGAGAAAAGGAAATAAAAATGAGGGTAAAAGTTTTAAGCGAGAAAAAGAAAAAATTGTCCGTGCATGTTTTTGTTAGCGTTTGTTTGTGTGTGTTTTGTACGTCTCAGAAAAGGGAGGAAGAGGGAGGGAGAGAGAGGAACGACGGGATTGTACATATTTGTTCTCTGTGAGTGCGTGAGTGGGTGTCAGACTGCGGTGTGAGCCGACGGTGCCACACATAACACGCCTTGCATTGACATGCATAGCTGGCACAACGTGTACGCACATAACTTGACAATCTATCTATCTATAATGTCTTAATGCATCTGTGGCTCCATTGCTGGAAAGGGGGGCGTATCCCTACCGTGACCATCAGTGACCTTCTCACGAGGAAGCGCTTTTTAAATTCTCCACCCATTTTTTTTTTTTTTTTTTTTTTTTTGAATGTTGCTGCTGCGGGGCATTATTTAGGCACGACGGGGTGACGCAGAAGGAGAAGAGATTATTTTGCGTGAAGAGCGGGTTTCGTTGAAGGTGGGCGGGGTGGTGGGGGCAACGGAAAGCAGCGAAGTTAAAAAGGGAGGGCAAAACGTTTACAAAATCAGCAGCGTCTTTCTCCCCCCCCCTCTCGCATTTCTCCCAAACATTTTAGGACGAGGGCGTGAAGAGTAGGGCCGCCGAAAAGAGAGATTTTTACTCATACAGTCATACATACATACATACATACATACATAAATATATAAATACAGTTATTTTATAAATAATATAAACATTTATTAGAGTTATACGCAACTGAAACCGTAACATTACACATCTGGATACGCACACTAACTTTCCCCACCTGTGAGGGCGCTTAACTGCTGATGCTGCGTGCCTCACTCATTGTTTATGGCAGCGGATTTATGCGGACCATTGGGAAGAGGAAAAAGGCCGCGGCAGCCACAGCCGCCACTACTGCCATCAATGGGAAAACTTCTAGTGTTAGTACTGTTGCTGATAAGAAGAGAAGGAAGAAGGCGACGACGCAGGTTGAGGAAATGATGGATGGGGATTCCACACCTGTTATTCACAACAGCAATTCCACGCATACTCGTTTAGGTGACGGGAATTCAGAAAAGGCATCAAATTCTCGTCATGGGACCACCGCCACTGGCCTCCGCAGCCGCAGGAACAAACGCAGCGACGAGGAGGTTTTGCAATTAGCTCAGCGCATGCAGCGGCGGGACCTCACGGGGGAAGTGCCCGTGGCGTCCTTCGCTTACGAGATATTGAAGGCACACCCATCTGTGCGCCAAATGGGGTTGCGTGAGCGCATGTCATTTCTCTGCGATCGATGGGACCGGCTCAGGAAGGAGCAGCGGCAGGTGTACCTTGACGACCCGCTCAAAGGTCTGTTGTAGTCGAGAGCGGATTCTCCTCTCTCTCTCTCTCTGCGTGTGTGTTTGGAAGGGGAGGGGGCTGACGGCCAACAGCAGCAACAAAAACATTAGGGCCGTTGTCAAAGAAAAAAAGAAAGAAGGAAATAAAAAAAGAGAAAAGGAGAAGTGGAAGAGACAAAAAAACAAAAAACAAACAAGCAAACAAAAGCAACGAGAGTTCAATGAGAAAGAAGGGGAGGACGGAATGAATTATGTGGGGGGAGATTAGAAAGGGGTGGGGGGAAAGGGTTATGCCTGCCAGTACAGAGAGGTGGGAAAGGAATTGAAGGAGGGAGTGATTTCTGCGCTGTTAACTGCTTTTTTTCTTTCTTTCTTTTTTGTGTTTTACCCCTGCCATGTGGTTATTATATAAATATAGATGCCCTTGTCCCTTGAATTCCCCCTTAAACAACTTTTACCGCGTGCCACATGTATAAACACACACACACACAATATATATATATATATATATATATATATATATATATGACCATGACTGTATGAATATATATGTCTTTATAGAGTTCTTTGTTTGGAGGCGGTGACGGCGCTGATAATATGCCAAGATTGTGGGGGGCGGATATGTCGTTGTGGGGGTACGAGGGAGCGAGGGAGGGAAAGACTTCAACGCATCACTATCACTCATTTTTTTTTTTTTTTGCATCTGTTTTTATTGTCGATGTTTTTTACACAAGAACGAGGAGGAAAGGGCTAAACTGTTTAAAATGGCCACCACAGGAGAGAAGAGAGATGAACATATATATTTTAATGGATTTTGTGTCGAGCCGTCTTTCCTTTTTTTTTTTTTCTTTTGTGGGGGTACTTTTGCGCTTCACATGCTGTCCCACACACACACACACACACACACACACAAATGCAGGCAGCCGCTGTTAGGAGGAGGGGTGACATCAAGTTAGTTGTGCAGGTGGTATTTATTTATTTATTTTACGCGTGCGCCGGAGGGAATCATGTGGCGCCTCTTGATGTCGAGAGAATCGCGAAGGGCGGTGGCTTTAGGAGCGGCGACGACACTGTTGCCATTTCGTTGTGTTCATGAGCGGCCATTCCTTGATCTTCCGACCGATGTTTCTCAGGGCGAGGCATACGACATGGCCCGCGACGCCTTGGTACAGCTCAACGTGATGGTGCGACGCGGGATTGAGCCGGATGCGCTCATGTACACTTCTCTCATTGCCACGATGAGTCGGGCGAAGTTGGAATGGCAGGCGTATAAGCTTTTCTCCCGTATGTTGGAGCAAGGGGTGCGTCCATTGCCGGAAACGTATGTGGCGCTGCGCGACGCCACCTCACCTTCACGCCGGCGATTGAGGCAGGACTTACAGTTGAAGATTGAGGAATCTTTGGAGTCCTTGCCCTCTGAACTGGCCGAGGAGGAGTTGGCTCGCCGGCAGGAGCAGGACCGGCTGTGTGTTGAGAAGTTTGAGGACTACATGAGGGGTGTGCTGCCGACACCTCCGCCGTGTGCATCATACACGCAGACGACGGTGATGCCGGCCGTGCAAGGGGAGGGAGGCCGCAATGACGACGGCGATGTCCAGAAGGAAAGAAATGGCGCATCCGCAGCAGCGACAAAGAGGGATGGAGGCGGACAGGAAGAACCCCGACCCGTTGCGACTATGCACATACGAAATCCAACAGACGCTTGGAGCACTGCACGCATGATGGAGGAGCAGCGAGGAATTAGGACACAGCGTGCGCAAGGCAGTGACACCATCGCTCTTAGCGATGAACTTCATCGTCTTCACGAGGAAGAGCTGCGCATATTTCTTGCGGCGCAACGGCAACTACGCCACGGCACAAAGGATGAGTTAGTGCGCCGGGTGCTGGATAATGTACCTGAAAGGAGTATTCGTGACATGTTGGGGCGCCGAAAACATTACTTTCGGTCTGTTGCACACATCTTGGAAAACGATATACATGCACTTCGCCGGGAGAATATTGGCGAAAACAAAGACGTGTTACAAAATTCTGTACAGGAACAGTTCCCTGCAGCAGATCGTACATTGACAGCCGCAGAGAAGGAAACGGTGGCGCCGGAGGTCCTGCATACCCCGTGGGGGATTTTGCGAAAGCCGATGAAGCGAAAGCCCGACCCATCCGCATCGCGTAGCATGGAGCGCCTGCAGCGCATAAGCCTCTCCTTGGAGGAGCTGCAACTCATTCGATGTAAGGGAGAGACAGGAGACCTTGATGAGCTCCCGGAGAGTCTTCTGAGACGCTATGCGTTTGAATTTAACCTAAAGTGGAAAAGACGTTTTCCACTCTCCTTGTTGGAGGCCGTGCAATGGCACTGCACGACGTTCCTTCCGGAGCAACTGGATGGGAAGGTGGTGGTGCGGCCCACACCCGCTCTTCGCCGGCAGCAGGAGGAGGAGGGAATGCACAAAACATTGGAAAATTATGAGGCCTTTCGCATCATTTCACAGCGGACGAACAACCTACAGGTGGTGGACCACAAAGAAATAAATTTGCATCTCAAGAAGATACAAAAGACGATGCTGCAGAAGGAGCGGCACACGGAAGAAACACTTCGACGGGAGCGAAATTTACTTGACGCCGCCACTCTTGCTGCATCGGCAAAGTCATTTACGCCGCCAGATGGGACGTCGACTACCGTTTCACGGGTGCTTGGTGTGAATGAGGGTAGTGATAGCAATATTGCAAAGATTCCGCCGCCGGCATCTACTTCCGACACAAGGGATGATTCTTTGGTGCAGGAGGAATGCCATGAGTTGCCCCCGTGGGCAATTTTTTCCGGCGCAGAGGAGTTTGACATCTCCACTGGCCGCTTCGGTGACCCCGATGTGGGACGCTATCAGGAGCTTAGCGACGGCCGCTTCAAGGTGTTGCCCTCACGGGAAGCACAGGACAAGTGGGCCGTTGACCGTCAACTTTTGCCCGGCCCGTTGCAAGACAAACTGCAGCGGGCAGAGTTGCAGCAAAAATTGCACCACGAGGCCATTGAGAGACGGTACCAGCAAAAACTTCAGTACAATCGTTACCGCAAGTGGGACTCGTTTCTGCGTAAGGCTCAGGAGAAAGGACAGCGGGAGAAGAGCAGCGAAGAAGAAGAAGAAGTAGATGCTGTACGGCCACTTCCGCCAAAGCGGCGTCTCTCGCAGCTGCTGCGCAAAGGACGCGATAAGGCACCAGTGGAAGGCTCTGTGAAGGCCAAGTACACCAGAAGTCTTTGACACAATCTTGTGGGGGTCCACGTGTTATTCCTGTGCAGACTCCACTAATTGTTTCTTTTTTTCTTTGTTTGTTATCTTACCGTTGTTGTTTTTGCCTTCTTCGCGTATGAGCGAGAGGAAGGTACACGTCTTTCTTCTCAACTAGTGCCCTTTTTTTTATTTTTTAAATTCCTTTTCTTTTCGTTTTTCTTTTTTTCTGCGGTTTTGTTTTTAGTTGACGGAAGAAAAGGGGGGGACAAACGAGACTTTACGTGGAACGGCAATACGGGCTGCTGGAAAACAATGCAACCCCAAGAAAGCACCGCTTCTGTGTTTCCTATATGCGCAATCGGGCGTACTCTCTTGGGGAAGAGTCTAAGATGCGAATTATGCAAACCGACCTTCACTTCTTTCTTCTCCCACTCATACGGACACATAACACGACTGGGGGCATGTTTATGTGTGTGAATGCTTTTTTTTTTTTTTTTTTTTTTTGTGGGAGGTAGGGAGGGAGGGAGAAAAGAGGACCATTCACATCATTACAGAGGGCGGAACGGGCAAGACACATTCTCAGGCATACACGGAGGTGGCCACCCTCAGGAGCGACGAAACAAAAACCCAGGAAAAGGGGTGGAATTGACACTTTTACATTTACACATTAGGCGCAAAAAAAGTGTAGACAGACGGAGAAATAGAGCGAAAGAGAGAGGCGCTCCGCGTGTGGCGATTAGAATTTTCAATGCGAGGCGGGTGTCGTTGGACGCTGCTGTTATTACTCTTTCTTTTTCTTGTCAGTACTGTTGCGAGCGCGCAGGTGCCGGGGGATGCCTTGTCAACTGTCAAAGTAGACATGGGATTTAACGGCAAGTGGACAGCCGCCTTCGTGGCAGCTGCGGAGTTTAGTGACGCCGTTCAGAGTGACGTGAGCGATGCTCTCGGCATCCAACGTGCCGCCGCGTGGTTTGATGCTGCGCCTGCCGTTGCCGCCGACCCCGGCACTGTTGCTGTGAGTTTTGTTGTGTGGAGTGACCCCGGCATCGTGGCGAATTTTCTGCTGCGGGATGCCGAGTGGACGGCGACGAAGGCGTATTACACGGAGGCTACCACAGAAAGTGTGGCAACGCCGTTTGTGGCCCATGCCTTCCGTGTGGAGGCCATCACGGTGCGCTTCACAGGGGACGGATGGGGCGACACCAGTGCCCTTCCGGAGGCAAAACTTTCGGAGGGGATCATTACCGACGTGAAGGCGGTGAAGGATGTGACGGGTACACCGGCGAATTTAGATGCGGTGTTGATTGGCACCGTTGACCGCACGAGTGGGGCAACTTTTCACCTTGAGGTTGTCTCCGCTGGGATTCAAAATGTAACCACCCTTCTTTCCCCCGCCTCCACGTACGCGACGCTGTTGGAGTACTACAAGCATCAGACAACCCTGACCGACGGCGCACTGCGGGACGTCAGCAGGACGCCAGCATCTCCCATTCAACAGCAGTACCGAACACAAATGCAAATGATTTTTGGCGGTTCTTGGCAGTTGGTTTTGCAATCAAAGGAGTTAGAGGTGGCGTCAACAATACAGCTGATACTTTCAGGAGCCCTTGCATTTCAACCTTCCCGTGTTATTATTGGAAACATCAGCAAAACAGTCTACCCGTTCAATTTGAATGTCTCGACCTATGTTGTGCATTCCCGCGGATTCAACGCTAGTACAATTCCGAATTTGGCTGCGGCAGCGAACTATTCCTCATTGGTGCGTCTGTACATGTCAAATGGTGGGGATCCGGGCGTCACTCCCGTCTTATTGTTTTCGGACCTTGTTCCCTCTCGGCCTCCAACTGGCACGTCCGCTGTCTCGCTTGTTTCGACACACAAGCTCGTGTTCTCAGGCACTCGCTGGCCGACCGCACTTTCTTCTGTTACGGCGGACGTTTTTAAAGATGCGCTTGCAGGGGATCTTACGAAACTTGTGCCCTATGGCCCGACCACTGTGAATGTGCTGGGATATACCGTTGGGGCAAAGAATGGATGTAACGCTCGTGTGATGGTCGATCAGCAAGGGGATGTGCAACTGATTCCCGTTGCATTGAATGCGTTTTTTAAATTGGCACCATCTCTTCCAAACACTGAGGAATTGTACAATAAACACGCTGGCGCCGGTGGACATGAAGCCATCAAAGTTTTCTCTTCCTTGGAAAAACAGCCAAAACGCGGCAGTGCATGCACATCACGGTGCGTGGGCATCTCCATCATGGGCGGATGTCTTTTGGTCTTTAGCATCGTGGCAAGCATTATTTTCTGTGTGTGGCGAGTTTTTAGCCGCTATGTCAGTCCTCCCAAAATCAACAGCGACTTGGTCCGAATACCTCCCGAGAAGAATCCATTTGTTTCCACCGTGACACTGCGTGGTGTTGCCGAAACAGCACCGAGTTTCACGCGCAATCTCTCTCCAACTGGGGCGGATGGCCCAATGTACCCGCCGTTGACTGCTGGCGTTGCACCGTTTGGTCCAATGATGTCCACCTCCACGGCGTCTGCGCCGGAGTCCCGCATGACGTCATATGTGGCCGAGCAACCGAACTCTTCTGTGGTACGGCAGGGCAACATTATCATTCCCAGTTCCAGCGGTGAGAAGGAATTTGAACTCATCGTGATGCCACGCAGTGAATTTGAACGAAGTCACGGTTCTGAACCTTAATCGTCACTTCTGCAAGGAGGAATATATGTATAGGGCAGGATGGGATAAATAAAAGCGTGTTGCGGATCAAGTAACGCATGAGCACTGGCAGAGGTACATATGTATGTATGTGTGTACGTACGGTTGCGCAGGAAGGAGGTGGAACGAGTTGATGTACTGATGGATACAGAGGGCATGGAAGATAAAACCACCAACAAATGTACTTCTTCTTTTTTTTTTTTTTCTTGACTCTCTTTCTTGCTATGCCAGGGAGAAATGATGGCGGTGATGAATGAACAGCGGGGAAATAAGATGAAGAAGAAAAAGAGAAGGAAACAAAACAAACAAACAAACAAAAAAAAACAAGAAGGCAAATTTGGGAAGACTCTGAAAATTAATCAAATGTCGGCCAGTAAAAGGAATGCTCAGTGAAGAGCGGAGAAGGGATGACAAGGGGATAAACTTCTCATCCCCATGGAGAGAGACACAAACTGCCATGAAGACGGTGACGGGGACAAAATTTGAACAGTTTTTCATGTCAACTGCCATGACGGCGGCAAATAAATAAATAAATAAAATGAATGACAGGAATAAACTCTCCGCTTTAACCCTCTCTCTCTCTCTCTATATATATATATATATATATTCCCGTCATTGGGTATTGTGAATATTCCTTCTTTTTCCTTTTTTACTTCCGCATGTATATATATATTTATATTTACGCACGTGTCCTTTCTTATCTTATTTTTTTTTTTTTCCGCGGTGTTATTTATCTCAGTTAATGAGATTATTTCTTTTTTTTTTTTTTTTTTGTCATTGTCATGTTTTAGATTTTTTTGTTGGGTTCTCGCGTAGGAATCCTCCAGTCTTCCCGCACGATATCCCGCGCGCGTATGGAGGTTTCCAAGGAAGAATGACGATGCTCGCTCTTATGGTCGTTGCTGTCTTATGTCAATTCTTCCTTCATTGTTTTGTTCATGTCTGTTTCCCACCAAACCCACTCTTTTTTAAATTATTTTTTTTTGTTTTTTGTCGGTACCTCCCGTTGCTTTGGAACCCACACACACACAAATAAGCAAACACAAACAAACAGACAAGTGTGATTGTCGTTGCTTTCTTATTTGCGTTGGTGCGCTTCATCGCCATCTTCCACGTGCGTGGCTGAGACGGGAAAGGGACGGCCTGGCTGCGGCCAAGCAGGGAATTGTGGAGAGGGACACGGGGGTGCTGCGGGGGGACAAGCAGCAACGAGAAGTGAGAGAGACCCGTGGAAGGGTCGTGGCGACAGTCATGGCTCAACGAGTTTCCGCCCGGCGGACGACGGAGGAGTGGCAAGATGCTTTTTACAGCCTGGAGGAGCGTCATCGCCAGCTGCAGAAGAAGTTCAACGAAAAGGAGCAGGAGCTCAAGCTGCTCAAAGTGTCACAGCGACGTGAATCCGCCGCGCCGTTGTTTGCCCGGGGCGTCCCTTCACGCTCAGCCCCTCTTATGAGTGGGCGAGCTTCCAGCATGCGGGCGCCTTTACCATCGGCAAAAGCCAATGAGAGGACATCGGGGACACGAGTAGGAGGAGAAGGAACTGCACATGAGGGGAAACATGACAGCTTTCCCGAGCGGAATGCCGGTCTTGTGTCCGTTCCGTCCGCCGCACGGAAGGCTGATGCCGGGGCTGCGGCCGCGGAGTTGAGCGCCTGGTCGGCTTCCCCATCGCCGGATCCCTCCATGGTGTGGGGAATGGAAAACAGCATACAAAATTATGTCACCGCCAATGCCCTCTACCACGCGAACGAGGAGTTGCGTCACCGTCTTGATGATGCCGTGACTCTTGTGAAGACACTGCAGCATGAGTTGGCTTCCAGTCGCAGCTTGGTAATAAACACCCAGAAACGGCTGGAGGAGACGACGCAGCAAATGCATCAGCTTGTGCGGGAGCGTGATTTGGCCAGTCAAAAACTCTCCGTTTCACAGCAGGCCGTTGCGGAACTTGAGCGGACTTTGAAGAATCACAACACAGAGGAGGAACGGATTCGTTTCTCGCTGGAGACACAAATCACGGAGTTGCGAAGCCGCCTAGTCGTAGGGGCTGACAGCAACGAGCTGCTTACCCGCGATGTTCGTACCCTTCTTTTGGAGGTTAAAGAAAAATCTTTGGAGGTTCAAAGTCTGCGATCGAAAATTGCTCTTGCCGAGGCGGCGTTATCGTCGCAGAAACAAAACAATGAGAATCTTTTAGTGGAGTTGCGCGGCCTTAACAATCAACTCATCAATGAGCGCAAACGACTGCTTTCCATGACACGCGAGGCGCAATTGGCGAGTTTGCGTGCCGATGAAGCGAAGGATTTTGAGTCCCGTCTAGCGGAGGCTATAGAGAGCCGTAGTGCACTTGAACGTGAGCATGTAAGGCTGATGGAGAGTTTAGTGGGCGTCACAGAAAGTGCATTGCGGCAGGCGAGGGAGGAGGTGCGACAAGACATTGCCGATTGGCGTGCATCCGCCTCCCATTGGGAGGAGGTGTCGCAGTTGCTTTACAAGGA